TCTATACCACCCCTATACCCCCCTACAACCCCCTTATACACCGCTCCCCCAACCCCCCCATCCCCAAAAATTTCTCAGCGGATTTGGGCTGTACTCAGCAAGCGCAGTACAGCTTCCAACTCAGATCTGAAAAAAAAATAGTGGATGGTTGTTTTCTGACTGGTCGGCAGACCGCCAACCAGTCGGCCCTACTGGTCGGCTGCAATACGGTCGGTGGTCGGGGTCGGCGGTCGGCAGGGATGCAACCATGGATGTGTTTCTATTTCTGCTTCTGTTTGCAGAATTTTTTTGTCTCTGTTTCTGTTTCATTATTATTATTATTATTATTATTATTATTATTATTATTAATTTATTAAATTATTATTAAATTATTATTTATTACTTTTTTTTTTTTTGGGAAAATTTGTCTGGCGTCCCTGTAATTTGTGTTATTTCGAGTCGTGCCCCTCCGACGGTCGATTTACCTTGTCGCGCCCCTCTGAGCAGGGTTCAAATTTTCCAGAAGACCCTGGTGTCGTTTGGACCTCAAATCTTTTCGTTACGCCGCTACCGGTACCCGTCCCTAATTTGCGGGATGCCCCTACCGGATGGCCGCTAAAAAGCCAGCAGGAAAATTTTCGAGATGCCCCTACCGGTACCATTTGCTGCAAAGCCATTTGCTGCCAAGCCATTTGCTGCTATGTCATCTGCTGCCACGTCATCTTCTGCTACGCCATCTTATGCCACGTCATGTGTCGTTTGGGCCTCAAATCTTTTCGTTACGCCCCTACCGGTACCCGTCCCTAATTTGCAGGATGCCCCTACCGGATGGCCGTTAAAAAGCCAGCGGGAAAATTTTCGAGATGTCCCTACCGGTACCATTTGCTGCTACGTCATCTGCTGCCGCGTCATCTTCTGCTCCGTCATCTTATGCCACGTCATCTGCTGCCAGTCCATTTGCTACCAAGCCATTTGCTACTACGTCATTTGCTGCTACGTCATCTGCTGCCACGCCATCTTACGCCACGTCATCTGCTGCCAATCCATTTGCTACCAAGCGATTTGCTACCAAGCCATTTGCTGCTACGTCATCATCTGCTGCCTCATCAGCTGATGTCACGGCATCTGCTGCTAAGAGGGCGTCTGCTGCCAACCACATCTTCTACTGCTTTCCCAGATGCAGGGGCGGCTCCCTCTTCCGACAAACGAAAGGATGTTAGTGGTGGACAGTCTGAGTCAACGACGAGGGCAATGGCGAGCTCGATGAATGCAAAGGCGGGAAAGAAGAAGTCTGGGGTGGGCGTCGGCTCTTGCAAGTCCGTATCTCGTCTCATCCGAAGGTTACGATCGATGGAAGAAGATGATGAAGGAGGAGAGGGGTGTTGTGATGGCGCTGCGCGACTATGGCTGGTTGTTGGACTGTACAACGTTCCAGCCCTCTCTCTCTCTCTCTCTC